AACAATTCTCGTCACATTAGAATTTTCATTCAAAACATCCATCATAAGGTATCTCATTTCCATCATCACATTCTTCTAAGAATTAAATTACTTTATCACCACAATCTGAATAGCACTTCTCTCCCTTTTGGTCATAAATCCATCCATCAATACAAGAAATACATTTCGAATTAATAAATTAATCACAGCCTGGATGAAATGGAATAATATCATAGTTCTCAGATTCCGCATAATATAATTCAATATCCCTAAATTCTTAATTCTGATTAAAGGGTTTCTAAACATATCTCACTTATTCCTCCATCTTTTCCCAAAATTTCAAATTCTACAAATCTGTTCTGATTGTACATAATAGAATTTTCATATTCCATTTGAGGATACTCTTATATTATTAGTGTCTTATCTATAAAACCTTAAACGCATTTCTAGATGATTAACCAAACCTATTTCTCGATGAAATCTCATTCCTTGTTTGTAATTGCAATTAGCGCATTGTATTGATTGATATTATGATAAAGGAAATCCTTCTCCGTCCCACTATTCCTATCCTAAAATTAATTTTTGGGAAAAAAAGGATTCTTAATAATGCCATCTCAAACACTATGGATAATCATTACTAGAACACATACCACATCCTTAAGGACATTATTCTATACTCATCTTAAAGGTTCTAAAACCCCACGATTACTATTAATAATTATTATAATTACGTTAAAATCAGTATTATAATTTACATAAATATAAACCCAAGCAGTTTTTCTCTTATGAGGAAACTTGAATGATATTAATTCATATTAATCATCATATCCCCCACCACCACAATAATCAGGTGCTGATCCCATTGTTCGATATGTTTGTTAAAATTACAAATCATCATCGACAACTATCTTTAATTGATCAAAACCCCATCTATCAATCCTACAGATAATTATTAAGCCTACCTCCAAAATTCCATCTCTATTTTCAATTCATAATGAGAATCTAAATTACCAAAGAATCTAGTAACTGAAGTACTAACTCCAAAGTTATTAAATCCTCCTAAAATATTTTATGAATTGCAGATTGAGAATATTGATCCTATTCCATTATTTATAATCCAATCTTCATAACTATTAAAAATTGATACCATCTTAAACCAATAGGCTAGCATCAAAATTATAGATCTAAATCAAACAAATACACTCATAAAGCAATGGTATCATCAATATCCACTTCATTTCAATTAAATAATATTAAGAGAGTAAATTTTTAAATTCATTAAACTATTTGGATATCAATTGATTCTATATTGTTTTTGTATTAATTTTTTTCATCTTAATAAATTTATTCGTTTAATGTTCTGATAATATATAAAATTGAGAACGAATAGGTAATCTTTCTATTAATGATGTATACAATCTTATTATTTGAAATGTAAATTATATTATTTTGGGTCTGATTACCTTGCCGAAATAAATAACTTACCAAATCATTTCATCAATTTGCAATTGTTGTCGTGTCCATCTATTGTAATATTGAAGTTATATTTTTATAACATAAGATCAACACATAATAATTTTCTACACAACAAAAATTCTTAGATCTCTGAAATTGTATTTATATTAATTTAAATTTACTCAATAGTTATTATTTTGAGAACAGAATACACTAAGAATTTATTATTTTAGTGTCTATAGTTGCTAGATATGATATTCTAATAAATATTGAAGAGATTCTCGAAAAGTTGAGTATTAATCTTGGATATATCTAATCAGCAAATTTGATGAATTCTGTTTTCAGATATATTTTAGATATTATACATTTGTGTATCTAATAATTTATTAAAATTTTTTCCAATTATTATGTAAGTTAATCACAATAATTAATGTGTGTAACATAATGAACAAGCTATTTATTTAGAGAGAGGAAAGTTAGGGAATCAACGGAAATTATATTGCTAGAAGTGCATTGAAAAAATTGAATATCCACATAATTTATTGCTGATCAAAGAGGCTGAATCTTTTATTCATAAGCATGAATAGGTTATATTAGGAGAAGGAAAAATAATGAATTCTAAAAACCTAGAACTACTTCTCAAATTAAAGGAATAGATGTTTTAATTTTAATCTTAACTATCTTAATATATTGAGGGAAACATATAAGAGATCAATAAACAGATTTAAGTTATAATTACGGTTGATAAATTCTTGGAATAGAAAACTAGAGAAGCATTATCTAGATTCATTTATGAGAATTATGATATTGAGATATTTTTTGAAGAAATGGTAGATTATGAATCAATAAAAGAGACAATTGCTTGTTCATTAATGCCAATGTAGGTTCTCTCTTTTTGAGAATAACAATAATAATTTCTAAAGGAAATTAGATTGTAATATAATACAAACTCATTAGAATAAATTAAAGATTTCTTCATGTAAGAGAAGGAGAAATTATTAATTAGAAACTATAGATGCCAGATTCATGAACTTTAAATTGATATTGTTAACATTGACTAAGAGGGTCAATATCATTTAGGGTGCATG